AGCTATAGCTCATACTTTTTTTTGGACGATTTTCTTGACCCCGCTATTTTGCAGTTGTTTCGTATTACATGACACCTACAGATCACAAGAGTCCTCTGCAGGTTGATAAAATGCCACTTAAAGCCTAGCTTTAAGCTCAAATAACGATGAATCGGATGATGCACAATTAGGCCCATGTGGCCGAATCTGGGAAAAACGACCAGGTTAAAAATTGGCCAATTTTGGGTAAAAACCATTAGCTATAGCTCATACTTTTTTTTTGGACGATTTTCTTGACACCGCCATTTTCCAATTGTTTCGTATTCAATGACACCTAAAGATCACAAGAGTCCTCTGCAGGTTGATAAAATGCCACTTAAAGCCTAGCTTTAAGCTTAAATAACGATGAATCAGATGATGCACAATTAGGCCCATGTGGCCGAATCTGGGAAAAACGACCAGGGTAAAAATTGGCCAATTTTGGGTAAAAACCATGAGCTATATATAGCTCATACTTTTTTTTTGGACGATTTTCTTGACCCTGCTATTTTGCAGTTGTTTCGTATTACATGACACCTACAGATCACGAGAGTCTTCTGTAGGTTAATAAATGCCACTTAAAGCATAGTTTTAAGCTTAAATAACAATAAATCGGGTGATACTCAACTAAACCCATGTGGCCGAATCTGGGAAAAACGACCAGGTTAAAAATTGGCAAATTTTGGTAAAAACCATGAGCTATAGCCCATAGTTTTTTTTTTAGATGATTTTATTGACCCCGCCATTTTCCAATTGTTTCGTATTCAATGACACCTACAGATCACAAGAGTCCTCTGCAGGTTGATAAAATGCCACTTAAAGCCTAGCTTTAAGCTTAAATAACGATAAATCGGATGATGCACAATTAGGCCCATTTGGCCGAATCTGGGAAAAACGACCAGGTCAAAAATTGGCCAATTTCGGGTAAAAACCATGAGCTATAGCTCATACTTTTTTTTGGACGATTTTCTTGACCCCGCTATTTTGCAGTTGTTTCGTATTACATGACACCAACAGATCACAAGTGTCTTCTGCAGGTTGATAAATGCCACTTAAAGCCTAGTTTTAAGCTGAAATAACGATGAATCGGATGATACTCAAATAAGACCATGTGGCCGAATCTGGGAAAAACGACCAGGTTAAAAATTGGCCAATTTTGGTAAAAACCATGAGCTATAGCCCATAGTTTTTTTTAGATGATTTTATTGACCCCGCCATTTTCCAATTGTTTCGTATTCAATGACACCTACAGATCACAAGAGTCCTTTGCAGGTTGATAAAATGCCACTTAAAGCCTAGCTTTAAGCTTAAATAACGATGAATCGGATGATGCACAATTAGGCCCATGTGGCCGAATCTGGGAAAAACGACCAAGTTAAAAATTGACCAATTTTGGGTAAAAACCATGAGCTATATATATCTCATACTTTTTTTTGGACGATTTTCTTGACCCCGCTATTTTGCAGTTGTTTCGTATTACATGACACCTACAGATCACAAGAGTCCTCTGCAGGTTGATAAATGCCACTTAAAGCCTAGTTTTAAGCTTAAATAACGATAAATCGGGTGATACTCAACTAAGCCCATGTGGCCGAATCTGGGAAAAACGACCAGGTTAAAAATTGGCCAATTTTGGGTAAAAATCATGAGCTATAGCTCATACTTTTTTTTGGACGATTTTCTTGAAGAGACAGTCTGCAGGTTGATAAAATGCCACTTAAAGCCTAGCTTTAAGCTTAAATAACGATGAATCGGATGATGCACAATTAGGCCTATGTGGCCGAATCTGGGAAAAAACGACCAGGTTAAAAATTGGCCAATTTTGGGTAAAAACCATGTGCTATAGCTCATACTTTTTTTTGGACGATTTTCTTGACCCCGCTATTTTGCAGTTGTTTCGTATTCAATGACACCTAAAGATCACAAGAGTCCTCTGCAGGTTGATAAAATGCCACTTAAAGCCTAGCTTTAAGCTTAAATAACGATGAATCGGATGATGCACAATTAGGCCCATGTGGCCGAATCTGGGAAAAACGACCAGGGTAAAAATTGG